ATGGTAGGTGGTCGGGCTAAGGTCCATCGACGGTGGTAAAATTTAGCGATAAATAGAAGTGCAACAATTAAATGTCTAACACAATAAATACCCACTGGAAGGTTTTGGCTTCAATAATTTCCAACTTTCAACTCCTGTAATGATCTTTCTTTCTACAATTTCGATCTCCTAAAAACTTCTCTTACTAGTGTCGACACTCAAAGGACCTTTCTTAATTGCTGAGTCGGACTCCCTCCAATATTTTTTTTTATTTCTTCCTTTTCCTTCTAAAATTTCTATAAAATAAATTTTAAGAATTTTATCCTACAAAATCTAATAGAAGATGTATGATAAGAAAATCACTTACAAAAAGATGATTATTCCAACCCAAAATCCTTCTTCTTCATTTCCCAAATTCTTCAAATCTCTTCATTTGCCCTTAATGAAACACCCTCATTGTTTAGATGAAGAAATAGGGAAGGATTTATACATAAATATAAAAAAAAAAAACAATCCTTCTTCTTTCTTCCTCTCAGTCGTTCCTCTTCAACAAAAACTTTCCCTCTCGCGATTTCTTCTACCGGAATGAGCGAACTAACAATATCCTATGAGAGGAGTCGTTACCTTTCATCCTTATACGCGAAAATCCAACCAACGATGCAATCCGAGCAGTTCAGGAGGCGTTACGCACGCAGGCGGCATCGCTCGCGGTCCACCTGGACCGCAATCTCCCTCTTTGAGCTTTTGTTAGTCATCCTCTTTCCTCTATCAATCTGTTTATTATGTGCATTTGAAGATTGTGACTTGGGAAGTGACGAGAATCTCATTCCTTCATCAATAGAGTCATCAACAAACAGGTGCATTATGCTTCAACTCCTCTTGTATTTGTTGTTTTTTTTTTTTAATTTCATTAAAATTCTCTTACATCTGATGACAGATGTCATGTGAGACTTCTTTCCACGAAGCAATGTTACCTCTGATTTTTGTTAGATGTTGTTTCATTCGATTAAAGCCTCCACCTTTATAAGTAATTAATCCCACAATTCATACATCTAAATTATTTTTTCCATCAGGTCAATTAAACTCACTACAGTGACTCAAAGCAATGTCTATCATCTAGTTTTCCTCACAGTTCTACTCAAACAATTTTACCAAAGCACCAACCAGTAGCATGCTCCCTTACCACCAAAAAGCTGAGAAAATCACACCTTAGTGTAGCCTGCCTACATATGTTCCCATAAAATTTATACAAGTTATGACATAAAGTGGGAACACCTAGTCTAATGGACAGGCATGACAACAGAAGAAGCCAGCTGCATCGCGGATGATGAGCTGGCCACCATTACACTTACTGACAAACTTAGGGCAAGGTTGGTTTTTCAAGAGCACAATAAGTTGATACAAACGTCATCATTCTTTAACCCCAAGCAACAATGCTAGAGCTCAACCACAGTGTGAATGTAGAACACAGGCATGGCTCAAGGATTACTAGTTGGATGTAGGATAGTAATGGGTGTGGAGGGTGTGAATAATACATGAGTCTATTTAAAATTCTGCAAGAGGAGTCCTTAAACCATTGGACGGTTTGTTTTGGATATTTTAGATTGAGGCACTTGTCAAATGATGGTAGAATCAGTTTTAAGTTGCAAATCATAGTAAAATTACAATATTATGATGTAATCTAAGAAAGAAAGGAGCAATGAAAAATCAACTTTGATAATCTCTTCCTCAAATTTCTTTTCTTCTATCTCTGTTTTCCACAATTCACCAGAACAGTAATCCAGGAGTTGCCAACGAACTAAAATTTGCGTTCATCTGCCAACAGAGCCCAAGACAGTGGACCTTGTGGAACCCGTTAATCAGGGTAAAGTAAGTTCCACATCTTTGAAATTGGTTAAGGATAAGAATGAAAAATTCTCAATCAAGAAAATATAAACGAAATCAAAACACCAACTGAAAAGATAAACTTCACTCACGTTACCAACTTTTCCGATCTCAAGCGGGGCCTTATCGAGAATAAATATCACATTAGACTTCTTCGACCCATCCGCTGGGGGCATGACGGGGATCCCCGGCATGTCTCCGATCACATCCTCAGGTTTTCCCTCGTCCTCTCTGTCAAGATGTCTGTAATCTGCAGCTTCGGATACAATCTCTTCCTCCGATCTCTTCCGTTTCATGGACTTCGGAACCTTAATTCGGTAAGCACGAACCATCTTCCCCTTCGCGACTCTAGCTTCGACGCTTCCAAGTAGGACCACCAACAGCAAGTTATTCTCGCAGGTTAGCCAAGCAACGATGCGGCGAAGGCAGCGGGGTTGATGACGAGCGATTGCCCGGGCTGGGTTAAAAGAGATTCTTACGGGAATCAGAAGAAAAGTATAGCGTGCGTTTTTCTTACATTGGGGAGACGAGATTAACTCCTGTTTGGCAGGATTTAGCGGTAAATCCCGGATTTACTAAAAATCCTGGAGTTCAGTGGATTTACGGGATTTGGCTGAAGAACCGCACGAAAGGGAGAAAGATAGTTACCTTCACAGCGAGCGGAAGCTCGGCGAACTGGAAGGAAGGTCGTCGAAGGAGGCGAAGAAGGCTTTTAGCGTTCAAAACCCTACCTCACGCGAAGCACCGCAAACTGGTTCAGCTAAAACACAGAAATTAGAAGAAGAAAGTAATTAGTTAGGATTAATCTATGTAATTTAAGTAAAAGAAATTAAATATAAATAATTAATTATACAATTAAACATATAAATTAC